CCACTGTTAGATGTCGGCGTGGAGGATGACGCAGGGTGGGACGAGGAGACAGCAGCTGGTGTAGTCGTGGTGCTGCAGTAGGTACGAAGGTGTCCTACAAGAATAATTAGAGCTGGCAGGGTGGGCAGGTCGGGGCTGGTTGAGCAACGGCGTTGCGAGGTGGATGCACTTGGGATTTGCGAGCCTCAGTTCTGGTTTTTGCGGCAGTGATGTACTTGGCTTCGTAGATCACTGCTCCCCTCTTCAATATCCTCCTCCAGGTCGACCGGTCTTCCCGGACGAGGTCTCCCCAGTTGGCTGAACTGATCTGCAGACGCATCAGGGTGGTCTTCAGAATGTCCTTTTATCGACGGAATTGACCTCCATGTCGGTGGGAGCCCGTGGCAACATCTCCGTAGAAGAGTCGTTTGGGTAGCTGCTTGTCGTTCATCCGCACGAGGTGGCCTCACAAGCGTAGCTGCAATTGTCTCATCATGATGTAGATATTGAAGGTTCCCGTTCGCTACAGTACATCAGTGTCCGGAATTCGGTCCTGCCACCTCATACTCAGAATTCGACAAAGACAACTGGTGTGGAAATGGTTGAGTCGGCGTGCCTGCCTTGTGTACACAGTCCAAGACTCTGCTCCATACAGCAGCGTCGGGAGGATGACGGCCTTGTGCACATTCAGGTTCGAGTTAAACTGACCACCGTACCGATTCCAATGAGTGCTTTGAAGAATACCGAATGGCAGACTGCCATTGGAAATCCGGCACGCCACTTCATCGTCGATTTTGGTGCTGGAGGAAAGAGAGAGCGGCGGAAAAGAGTCCATGCTGCGTTGTATGTCCTCTTCCAAGGTAGCGTTCAGGGTGCAGGCGTCGGCGAATAGAAGTTCGTGAACAGTGATTGTAAATGTGCGCGATTGGAAATGCATCCGCCGTCCATTCAGAAGGTGACCGTCCGTCCTGTAGGCGATGCGGATCCTGGGGTGTTAGTCAAGGTAGGCGTCCATCAGCATGGCAGATAACATGAGCCTGAAGAGGGTGGACGCCAATACACACCCCTGCCTCAATTCTTTCGTCACTGCCCGTGCCTCTGAGACAGCTTCGCTGTCCGTGACCCGTGCCATCATTCCATCTGAGTGAAGCATTCGGGACGGCCGCATTTTTGCATGATTTTCCACAGTCCCTCACGACACACCGTATCGAAGGCTTTCCTTAAATTTACGAAGGTAGAGGACTGGTGGTTCCGCATCTCCTAGTACTTCTCCTGGAGTTGGCGGACGACTAGGATCATGTTCTTGGCCCCGCGATGACGGCGGAAGCCGCATTGGCTTTCCGGCAGAAGACCTTGTTCTAGGTAGCTGTTCAGACTGTTGAGGAGGATGCGAGCAAAGAATTTCCCGGCAATATTCAGCAGGGAGATACCTCGGTGGCTTTTGCAGATCTGGCGTTTCCTTCTCGCTTGAGTAGATGCACGATCGCGACATACTTGAAATTCTGTGAGGCGTCTCCTGGAAGAGCGTAGTCAGATGATCCATGAGATTGTAGATCTCAGCGGGGATCGCGCCTGCTCCGGGTGCTTTCCCACTGGAGAGCTGCTGCACGGGCCTGATGGTTCCCTAAAGAGAGGACGGAAGATCGACTTCGACGTTGGTCTCAACTTGAGGCAGACGTGCGATGACGGCGTCGGAGATGGTGGAGAGATATTTAAAGACACCTCGGAAGTGCTTGGCCTATTGCTGTAGATTTTGTGTCCGCTCAGTGAAAAGGATACTGCAGTCGGCGCTGCGGAGAGGTGCAGTACCTTTGGTCGGTGGACGGTAGACAGCTTTGATAGCGGAGAAGACGTTCTTACATTCATTGCGGTCCGCGTACCCTGGGATCTCTTCTGTCTTTTCAGCCATGCAGTCGTCCTTCATCTCGCGTAGCCGTCGTTGCAGAAGGCGGCGAGTACGATAGAAGTCTGGTTTGTTGTCGTCGTCGGTAGGACAATAGTTGCGGGATTCAAGCAGGCGGTTCTTCTCGGCGAGCAGGTTGCTGATTGCGGTAACGTCGTCATCGAAAAAGTCCTGATGTTGGCGACGTGCAGGGTTGAGGACGGCCAGAGCCGTCGACTGGACACTGTTCCGCAGTTGGCACCATCGGTTCTCCACTGAGGCGTTCTCGTCGATGGCGGCGGTAGCAGCGGCGGCGACTGGAAGGTTGGCTAGACGTTGAGCTAGCTCGTTACTGAAATGGAGATGGTAAGCAGGTAAAGACAACAAGGCAATATTCAGCTTACCTGGGAGTCGCTTACCTTGTGGTCTCCTTCAAGGCTGTAGACGAGTCTGCACCCTGGAGATGACCAGGCGATAGTCGGTTCACACGTCGGCAACCGAGATCTGTTCTGTCGCCGGCACGTCCTGCTGGCCTCGCCTCCGTACGAAGACATAGTCCAGCATGTGCCACTGACCAGATCGAGGAGGCATCCAGGTGGCCTTCTCTCGCATGGGTAGGCAGAAGAACGTGTTAGTCAGGATGAGTCGGTGTTCAGCGCATGTACGACGGAGGAGCAGGCCACTGTCATTGGCGCCGTCGAGACCATGGGGACCCAGCACCCCTCACCAGGCAGTACAGTCTGTCCCAACGTGGACAATGAAGTCACCACGGATAATCAGCTTCTCCATCCCCGGCACAGACGCCAGGAGTGCGTGCAGGTCTTCGTATAATATCGCCTCGTCTGAGTCGGTCATTGTTGGCGCGTAGATGCTGATGATGGTGGCGAATTTGCCTCTTCGGAGTGGCAGGTGGAGGTTAATCAGGCTATCGTTGATGCCCTGTGGCAGACAGGGCAGTCGTTCCGCGATGTCGTTCGGGGTGGCGAAGGCGACGTCCGCCTCACGTCGCTCTGCCTTGGGACGACCGTGCAAGAGGAAGGTGTAGCCGGCATCCACCTCCTCCAGTTGACCTTGTTAAGAGAAACTGGTCTCGCTGAGTGCAGTGATGTCCACCTTATGGCGCGCCAGTTCCCCAGCCACTAGCGCCGTCCTCCGTTCCCGTCGGTCACTCCTGGGATAATCTAGAAGGAGACTAGAATTACAGGCTGTCAGAGTGAGCGGACTCATCTCAGCTGCGTGTGCAATGGGTCGGCGGGAGGAGGGGGCGGATGTAAGAGAGTATTGTTTCTTGTTTGTTTGTTTTATCCGTATATTTTGCGCTTTTGAGCCACGGTCTGCGCGCAGATCTCGTGTTTGGGACATCTTTTATATCCTCCTCCTCCTCCTCCTCCTCCTCCTCCTCCTCCTCGCGTCGGAACGCAGTGCTCTCCCTAAATACGACTCTTTGTCACACCAGACGGATTCCGCTCTCCGCTATGGCACACGAAGTTTGTTTTGTGGGAGAACGACCTGAGTTAGGGTGGGTCTGCCTACAGCATCGCCCTAGAACATAGTAGGGGGGAGGGATGGGAGGCAGCGTTTTCCGTCCCTCTCTAAGCTGACTGTTTCCTGAAATATAAGTGGTGAGCGGAAAAAATTAACAGAACGAAATTTGGCTTACAATAAGGACAGACACAAACAAGTAGACAACAAGCAAGCAGGCGAGAACAGCAAGAAGCAACGACAGAGGAAATTCAACAGAGCGACATTTAGTTTCCAACAAGGACAGACACGAAAGCAGACGGAGGGCAAGTAAACAAGAACAAGCGAAAGCAAACACAGGAGGGTAATGTCCGCTTATCTGGGGACTCACTGACCTTATGGCCTTCCACGATGTTCATGACGGAGCCTCATCTCGGAGATGCAGATGCGAAGATCCATCCTGCCGGCGGAGGCGAGATTACCGTGTGCGGAGATGCGCACATGAATATCCGCACCTGGTTTAGCCCACCGGTGGAGGCGGTTACTGGGGTGTGGCCTCTAGGCGAAGTCTATTTCCTGGGAGCCACATGGGAGAGTTGGGCGCCAGTAGATGAACGCTAGGGGTATTTGATGTCTGCGCGCAAGTGAACTGCCTACGTCAAGCTTCACTTAGGTCCACGACCGGCCACTCCTACATCCCTTACGCTAACCCCAAACCCGCATACTCAACCCGAACCCTTAGACAAATCCGAGCTCGAAATCTTGTCCTAGACCCTATCCTTAATCAACAAACCCAATCCTAATTCTAAGCACTAACCCTAACCCATAACTTCGAACCCAGACCCTACACCGTGACCCTAAACTCCAACCCTAACCCCATTTCGAAACTCCAAAATATCACTACAAAGCCTAATCCTGGAATTTAAAATTAAAGAGTTGTCCTATCCCAACCGTAAACTTGGGCCCTAAACCTGGACATAAACCCTAAATTCAAATCCAACCCTAATACTAAACCGAAACATTGCCCTAAATACTAACCCTACCTCCTGACTCCAGAAACTAACGTTGAACACTAATCCCAAACCTAAACATAACACAACCAGCAATCGTAAACCTTAACCCTAAACCCCAATCCTAACACTTGTACCGAACCCTAAACCTTAAAACCGATGCCAAGACCTGACACTAATCCTAACCGCAAACCCTAAACCTGACCCCAGATTATAGTCCTAGTTCTCAACTCTGACACCCTTTCTAAACCCCAAACATATTCACAAAGTCTAATCCTAAACCACAACGCTAAATACTAGACCTAGACTCTAGACCATGACCATAAATCCTAATCCTAACTCCGACTCCAAATCCCATAAATAAACCCAACGCCTAATCCTGAACGTTACCATTAAACACTAACCCCAATCCCAACCCCAAACCTAAACCCTGAACTTAGCCTTATACCCGAACCCTAAACACTAACCCTACACCCTAACCCTAGAAGCCAATATTAAATACTAAAAATAAACCTAAACCAAATGCTGACCCCAACATGAGAATCTAACCCTAAACCCCAAACCTAAGCCAAGTTCTGACCATAAACACAAACCCTACCGTTAAAGTACAAAACCCAACCCCTAACCCTAGAACCAAAACCGTAATCCTAACCTCAATCCCTAGCCCTGGCCGTAACCCTACGCCTTAAAATTAGCAATAAACGGAACTCGGGCCCCAACCGTAAACCCCGAACCTTAATTCTGCACCTACTCCTTACCCTAAACCCAACTCTAAATTATAACCCTCATTCTAACAAGCCTATTTTTAAACTCTAATCCTAACCTCAAACAATAATACTAAGCCCTAAAACATAATCCTTAATCCTAAAACCCGCTCCAATTCTGATGTCTAGCCCCAACCGCAAACACTGATCTTAAACACTAAGCATCTACCACAACCCTAAAGCTCAATCCTAAACCCTAAACCTACCTCCAGCATTAACCATAAAACTAACCATAACGGCAAACCGTAAAACTAGTCGTGGTACTAAATCCTAACCCTAACACTAAATCTTAAGCCAAATCTAGAACTTAGCCCTAACACATAAGTCGAATCTAACCATAAACATTACCTCTAAATCTGTACCCCTAACCCTAGCTATAACACTTAATCTAAGCCCAACCCTAAAGCTTGACCAAAACCCAAACACTATGCCCTAAAACCTAATCGAGACCCCGCCCAAATCCCAAACCTGTGACCTGAACCTCGACCTAACCCTAAAGCTAAACCCTAACCCAAACCCGTAGTCCTAGGGCTAACCCCTTATCATAACACAAAGTCCAGAACCTTGATCCTAAACCTAAGCTTTAGCCCTAAACCTAACTCCAACCCATAACTCTAACCCTAACCCTAAGCCATGAAACCCAAAACGCTAAAACCTAACCCCAAACACTAGTCCTAAAATAAACCCTATAAACCAACCTTGACCCTAACAGCAAACGAAAAACCTAAGCACTAACTCCAAACCCCGAACCCAAACCCAAGCATAAACCTTAGCTCTAGCTCTAACCCTAACCCTAGAGCATAACTCTACACCCTAACGCCTATCCTGATTAAAAACTCTAAATCATGATGCCAAATCCAACCCTGACTCTAACCTTAAACCCAAACGCTACCCGAAACCCTAACCCTAAAAGGCAAACTGTAACCCCAACCGCAAATCCCGGCACTAACCTTGACCCTAAGTACTAAAAGTAACTCCAAACGTTGCAGTAGGTTGGGCGCGTAAACTCGGCCCAAACGTGATTAAACTCGCGTCGTCCGGTGGGGCCTCATAGCTCAGGTGGCTACAGTGTTGGCTGTACTAAAGTCTCCCCTTCCCGTCGTGGGTTGGAATCCCACCGAGACACCGAGTTTTTCACAGTTGATTCAAAGTGAACGATAAGCTATCGTCGGGACAGTGCATATGGGAACGAGGTACGAAGTAAAACGTGTGAACGATAAGGGAAATCGATTACGGTTAACCTTTTCGTACAAAAGGATTGTGTGAATAGGGGGGGAGGAGGGAGAAGACAGTGAGTGGCGGTGAGGGTTAGGTAGAGCCGTGCCACAAGGTGAAGGGGGGGAGGGGGAGGGGGGCGCTGAGGCATGCATGCAATTAATCGATCTTTGGCCACGATAGACGCGTAGCGTGCATTGGTTCCTCTACGCGCATAGGACCGGCCTCCGCAGTCTGATGGCATTCGCTTCTGCTGTTGCTAGTATGCCCTGACCCAGTTGTTTAGCCTAGTTAGGTAGAACCTTATAACTCATACGGAAGGCTTCGTTGGGGTTTAATCGATTTCCTGAATCAACAATGTATGCGAGGGTGGAGCTGTGTATGCTCTTACTGTCACCTTCCCTTAGCCATGTCGGCCGCTGTCCTTGTATTACTGTGGATAGACGTTGACTCGCACGATCAACATAACCTGCTCCACAGGACCAAGTAAAGGAGTACAGGCGCATGGCGGTGGTCTAATTTGGTAACCTATCCTTACCTTCCTCGCTTAAGACGCAGTCGATCGGCAACAGTACCTGAACTGTTGCTGGGTCAAGGCGTCTTCTCAGGAATTCACTCGCCGCGTCCCCTTGAAAGGGGACTTTGAGGAACAGAGTTTCCTTTTCAGCCGTCGGTGTGATAAGTTTTGTCGGTCGTTCGGTAAGATTCCGTACAAGAAATTTGTCATGATACCCATTCTTACGAAGCACGACCTGGATTCTTTTAAGTTCTTCATCAGTGCTATCTGCCGAACTAGCTCTTTGTGACAAAAACGGGCTAGGTTAGGATTCTGTTGAAAGGGTACAAAGCTGCAGAAGTTCGGCCCAGACCGGGTTTGTTTTCGATGGACGCTTCTTTGGATGCTGTCGTCATCACTTCTGCTTAGAAGGACGTCTAGGAAAGACAGGGGGCCTGCCGTTTCCACCTCCAAAGTAAACCCGACCGACGAGTGTGCTTGATTTACAGCACCCAAGAGGGTGGTTATGTTGATTTCTCTGATGACAGTTGCGCAGGTGTCGTTAATGTGGCGACGGTAATGCCTTAGAGTATTAATTTGGTCGTTTAACTGAAACTTCTCCAGCTCGCCCATGAAAACATCGGCTAGCAGAGAGCCAAGAGGTGCTCTCATAGCAGCTCCGTCTGTCTATATATTTGGCTGTCAAGAAGGAGTCGCACATTTTGTGTGCATTCGTCGGAACACCTACATCTTGGTGGTTGCCTGACAGGACTTCACATATGTACTCGACTGTCTCTGGGACCAGAACGTTTGTGAAGAGTGGTGAAACATCAAGGGAAAACATCACCATACCGAGTAGGTCTAGGTTTTTGACGTCTTCAATGAATTCGAAGGTATTCTGATAGCTATGTGGTGCTGGTTAATACTGTACAGCTTTGAGTTTCTCTGCTAATCACTTCGCTATTGCATGATAGGGAGGGTTGCGCATGCTCAAGATCGGATCGGAATGTTGATCCACGGATGTGTATGCCTACTGGGTGGAGGTTTACGAGGTCGCGGTCGCTCACACGTTTTACTTTGTACCCTCGTTCCCATATGGATGTAGTGGCCCGATGATGATTTATCGAAAGCACGCACATGCTCGCCAAAAGGTCATCTGAATTCCTGTTTCAACACGTGCGAACAGTGACTCGGGTGCGTGAAGGTTAGAGAGCTAATTGCCTGGATCTCCTGTCTATCACGAGCGAGGAAAGTGCTGATGAAATAAATGTAAACATGCCCCTAGGTTCTTGTGATCACATGACATTACTGTGGGAATCAACACTCGTAGCTGTCCCAAATGATGTTCAACGTCGTTAAGACATGCCTGGCGGGGTAACTTTGAGACAATTAAATCAGAGATTGGATAAACGTTATGGACAGAAGTATTACGAGATGCCAACGAAGGCTGGAGAACCCCCGAATTAACTATGAAAAACTTGAAGGAACGATATTGTCCTCTCAAGAAACATCAGACTGAAAACGACCGAAACGGCTGACAACAGCGACTAAGAAGGAGATCCGAAGAATGTGCAACCTGTGAAAGGTATCCTTTCAAGCGGGGAGTCCACAAAGACTTCAAGAATTTAGACAACAACGCAACTTCTGCAAGAGACCTCTCCCTAAACTCTAGACTTAATCCTGATTCTAACTCCTAACCCTGAAAATAAACCATAAATACATCCCTAAACCTAACCCTAAGGCCTAACGCCAAAACCTTTATCCTAAACTTTAAAACCGAAAACTAAACCCTATCCCAACACTAAACCGAAACCCACACTTAACCGTATACATACACCCTAATCTTAACCCTAAACCCTTAGACCCCAAACCCTAGCCCCAAACGCCAGTGGGGAGAGAGAGAGAGAGAGAGAGAGGGCGAGAGAGAGAACACTGTATTCTGCGCAGGAATGAGTGGGTAATAGGTCGGAGCAAGTTGGCAGCCGGGCGAGAGGCACACGGTCGGTGCCGCCCTCAAACACATTAACTTTCCTCGAAACGAGACACTTTTGTGGGAACAGTACAAATCTACACGTCAGCCTCGATGTGCATTACAGAGGCTTACGAACCCATCGCATCGATCGATTCCACCTCCAGACTCTCGGATCATGCCGACACAGCGGCTGCGGTTTCCACTGCCCGCCATCTACCATTCAGCCCCTCACAACCAAAGACTGGGCGCTACTTCTCCGACCTCCACTTTGCACTCGCATAGACAGGAAGGTCAGCCGTATTCCCCCCCCCCCCCAAAAAAAAAACTCCTAACCCATACCCCCAACGTGCGAAGCACCATCCGCAAAGTCAGTATTTCTAAAAACGAGGGATGGTACGCGGTTGAAAATTCACCAGTTTCCGAAGGCACATTTCGTCTTTGAATATCCTCTCTCAGTGCCCATAACTTTCGCGTAAGAAGACATCACGTTCTATTTAAGTAATATCAAACCTGCAATGCTTTGTTCATAGATAGCCCACCCTATGCCTTCTTCGTTTTATTTCGATTGTGATATCGTAGAGTTTGACAGTCAAATACTAGATCGCATAAAAATCGGTCCTGGCAAATAGTTCGGAAGAGATTGGAGCAAAACCAATTTTTCGGAGTGCCGACCATCGCTCTAAATGGGCCGTCTGTAATAAAGCTCTCCTGTCGCCTTTCTGTCATACTCTTCGACGAGCGCCCGCCAATGAAGCCTGACATTTCGTGAAACGAGATGTTAAAAAGAACATAGGTCAAAATTCCTGCCAATTCGTTAAAGCCTATAGTTCAGGATTTATCCGACTAACCTCAAACGCTCACGTTCAGAGTCAGTGCAAAAACTAATTGGTGTAGGCAGTATGTTAGTACCGACAAAGACAAGGGAGACTGGAATGGCCATTTCTGGCTTATTAGCCGTCATCAGAAATGGCCATTTCAGGTTCCGTTGTCTTTGTCGGTAATGCCATTCTGCCTATATCATGCGCCGCTGTGCGGCTGCTAGTTGGGCTCGAGGGAGAGCCCGAGAGGCACAACGGAACGAGTGAGTTCAGTAAGAACGATCGGTGAGCGTCCACTGCCTTTTATTGATGTATTTCACAATTACTAGACAAGACAGGATATTCTGATGTGCACGAACTGCGAAGATAAGGGCTTAAAAGCGAAAGACACACGAGTTTGACCTCGCAGCCACCAAAATAGTCGCCCACGCCGGAAGCAAAACAGGCCGAGAATTGATTGAAGCCTGGGCCTCAGATGAGAACTCGGTCAATCGATCTATCGATCTGGCGCCGGCGTACAGAACCCTTCGTAGTCACCTCCAGTCGTGTGACGTCGGTCGATAATTGGGCCTACGTGCCTTATAACTGCCGCCTGTCCTGTTTCTGTCACTACATCTGACGGTGAACTCCTGTACGAGTCTGAAAGCTCAGGATAATAAACGAAGTGTTCCGGTGCTCGACTCTTCTTCTTCACTTATGCATGCACCTGGAACTCGAAATTTCGCCTTCATTCATGAAAGACACACTGCCAGATAGACATAGACCGACTCATTCTTGTACTTGTTACTCACATCTCGGTTCTTTTTTGTAGTATTAACAAATAAACTTCTGACAAGTTTTGCCACGCAATCGTACAACCACATCGAAACGGGCGTCTCGATTTTTTAATTGTTACTTTTATTGGGCTTATGGAGAAAGAGCTGTCTTAATTTGCAACTATTACCAACCGTCCACAAAGTCTAACATTTTAGGGTCATCTTGCTTGAATAAGGGCCCGTGTAGAAACTCAAAAATACCCCCCAGTCCACACTCTTTGCCGCTATACAAATCCCCCCACACGAGGTCCTGAGTATCTCACAAAATATAATGTGATCGTTCGATGTAAAAGCCTTGCAGAGTTTGACAACCATTTCTAATACATTTCGGATAACTTGTCAGCACGCGTTTGTTCCAAAATTTTACAGGAGGATCGTTATTCTAGCTCTCAACCTAGCCCTTCTAGAGAGAGGGGGGAGAGAGAGTCTGGTTTTACCCAATGCGAACAATTTGCATATCGGTGTTGTTTACTGAGCAACGCCTCACGTGATTATTGCACTCTGGCTAGGACTCTGCAATGTCTAACTTCATGTCTGGGGAGGGAGACTAAGACTGCGCCTGTCTGCGTCAGTCCAGGCAGCCTTGATCTCACAGGAGCGCGCGGTTTTGTCATCGTCGTCGTTGTCCTTTCCCGCCTCTCCGTCAGCTGTACTCTCTCTCTCTCTCCACCTTATTTCACTGGTGATTTCAGTCGCGTGCCTAGTAGGACATCGTCTACTGGTCACCATTCTGAACTCGCCTCTGGAGGTCTGTCTGGGTGCAATAAAATGGGTTGCTGGCAAGACCAGGGTCACATCGGCAACCGCCAGCGTGGAAAACTGTAAGTGACCTTCTCTAACGACACGGCAATTGTCGTGCCTGTCATGTTTATTGTGGTGAAATAGCACTCAGGGTTGAGGGACATTTAAAGGGGATTTGGGTGACTCATGGGGGGTGCTTGTGACTTATTTTTGTCTATTACCTTTGAAGTGAATGGTTATCTTCTCCTTGAATTACGTATGAATCGCACCGGGTTCTGTTTTCAATAAAAATTAACTGTACTAGGTGACTGTTCTTCAACAATGAACCAGTTAATGACGACTTTACTGGCAGACATCTAAGCTCGTATACTATATTCACCATATTTTCTGACCTAAGTTCATACCTCTGACGCCCGTAGCAGTCCGCTTCTGCGTAAGGGAGGAAGCTCTAGTCCATCCGAGATTGTTGAAGAATTAAACATCGTATATCCTCTCAGCGTGTTCTTCGTTTAGTGCCGTGGGTTCGCTGGGAAGGTATAATAAACTGTTTCCAGCTGTTGGTCAGGGTTATGATTGGCTGATTGAAGGCACAATAAGCCCGAAACAGTGCTGTATCAATCTACCCGCATTCTCTGTCGTCCCTCTTTGCTGCTATTATGACTTGACCGGCTTCGGCCTGGTAATTGGTTGCCTGTTTGGGACCTTTGCCACCCAACGGAGGTTGTTTGCTTCGTGATTCCAATAGATCGGCAATAACATACTGCCTATATATATATATATATATATGTGCGTGTATGGTAGAAGGGCGCTAACCTATCGTGTTGCGGAAATAACTCGTCCCGTTGTGCCTTGAGCCCGAAGCACAGCGCGACGAGTGAGTTCCGTAAGAACGACCGGTGAGTGCTCCCCTCTACCATTATACATTCCCGATCGAAAGCGACAGGGCAAAGAGGTAGTGGCTCAGTGGTTAGAGGCGTGGACTTCTAACTAACAGGTTGCGGGATGAGGCCCCAGGTGTTCCACACTTTGGCGTGGGGTATGACTGGCTGGCAACGGTTAATAAGCCAGAAGTGGCCCTTCCAGTATCCCTTGACCTTGTCGGTAGTAACATTCTGATATATTTACATTATATACATATATGTATGACTGCTGGCTTTGAATGCATGCTGTCTCATCTGCCTACAAAGATTAGGCCCGCTAAAATGACCAATTAAGTAGTGTGCACTTTTTCCACTTATTTTCGAGGCCCTCACAAATCTGGGCATGCTTTATGCACGAAATTATCCTTTTTACACACATTTCATACAAACTTGCATCTTCTTTCAGTTTCCTGCCCGGAGAAGGAGTCTTCTAGTTTTTAAAGGTTTTTAATTGTTTAGTAATTTTGCATCCAGCCTGCATATAGACTTTCTCAGCTGCAAGCTGTACACTTTCTTGATAGGAAAAACCTCTCATTCTGCTGGGGTCTTAACAAGATGTCATGCACAGCGCATAAGATTTTACAATGGCTGTGCATCCTATTGCATGCTTCATAAAGAACATCTTTAAATAGGCAGATACAATGTTATTTGAAAACACGCCTCACGGTCTTGAGAGGTCTCATACTTGAGATACCCTTTCTTCGATTGTAAAATTGTAAGACGTAACGTACTGCCACATGTTTACATTAAAGAACATTTTCTTGCATGTTTCCTTTTAAATCTGCTTTAAGGTACAAAAGCGTCGAAAATCAATTGGACAAGTCTTGTTATATAAGTAGTCATTTCGTTCTGACTGTGATTTTCGCGGACGGCTGAAAGATGATCTTTTAAAAACCTCATACTGTGCCGACATCGTCCGGTCACGCGGAGAATGTTTGCTCTCCCCTCTATTGCCGTGTACTTTTCCAGACTTTTTTGTTCGGGTTTTGACGTAGTTTGTTGATACGTGGCTTTGATAATAATAATTGTTTATTAAAGACCCATCGGGGTCCCATCAAAGCAAGTAAAAATAAATTTACGTAGAATTTTAGACGACGTAGGCAGAATCTGTACAAAATGCAATTCATAGTTTCTGAATTTGTAGTCCATTAAGAAAAATGATGAGCAAACGGTAAAAAAACTCCAATTAAGAACTTAAAAATGATTGGATTAATTTTACTGGAGAAAAAGCCCTCGCTAATAATAACAGAAAAATGCGGGCAGGACTAGCCTGCATGTGGCAGTATATAACGGATTATAAGCGGACATCGTCAAAATCCGTGCTAACTCGTCATCGTGCTAAATCCGATTGCTAGATTCCTGCCTAACTAAATGTTTTCCCTTCCTCTCCCTCTCCTCCCACAGGTACTACTTCAAAGTAAAATGCTGCCTAGGGGAATTTCTTGTCTACTCCTCTCTCTACTTCTCACCACCTGCTGCGGCAAGGAGCACCCCACGCATTCTATCCTCGCTGGGACAGTTGTCAATGGCATGGGCTCCTATGATGAGCTCAGTGCACAAGAGTATGAGATAGCTGTGGAACGGATCTGCCAACACCTGGGTCTCAACCACCTAGGACTGGGAATGCTCGGCCACCCGGATGAAAACAACACCAGAGATCCAGAAACGTGGGACGACCTACGCCGACCTTCCCTTATCCGCGCTGCCTTGGAAGTGCCCCCAAAGGCCAAACGTCAGGCTATCATGGAGCGTGTGGCCCGGGTTTCCGTGCACCTACCGCAATCTGGTTTGGTGAAGGAGTATCTAGTTGCGCTGAGTTCCGAGGCGGCAGCCGATCCAGTGCGTTGGGTACGGAGCCTGCCTGAACACAAACGCCCTCTGTCCATCCTTGAGGTAGAAGCCTTAGATGATTTTGTGGCGCGGCACCTTGTTGGTCTGGAGCATATGATTGAGTACCTCTACGAAGCCGCCTTCTACAGGCCTACACCTAGCCGCGGTGAGGGTAGGATTCCCGAGGCCAAAAATTACTGCATCCGGCGTCTCGAGGCCATGAAACAGGACGGTGGAGAGACTGCAGATCCCCTTTCCCAACCTTTCTGCCTCTTCATAATGCCGACCTCACCGCTGAGAACGAATCGAGATACTGTCCGTCGCAGTGTCATTCTAAGATTCAGTCGTCTGGTGGCGCCCTTCAATCAGCACCCAACGGACATTCAAATGCAGGTAGGACCTATCTCAGTGGGTAACAGTCATAGTTCTACTGTAGGATTTGAAAGAGATGGGTCGCAGGACTCAAAAATGGGAGATAAAACAAAATGCCGTATCAAATTAATCACTTTGTTAGGCCGTTACCCGGTGCCAACCCTGTGCGTTCTTGGCTGATGCCAGGACAAGGCCAGTTGGGGACGCGTAAATAGCGGTCGCTCAGTCGATGAGACCATTATTGCCACAGGTTATCAACCTGATGTTGTCCACCCAATCCCATGACGCAATCACCACTTTATGCGTACAGATCGGATCACGGAAACGCTGAATTAAAAAAGGTAGAGCCACAAGATCGCACTTTTGAGGGATGCCTCAGTGGCAAAGTCGCCTGCTAAACGAAATTAACTTCACCATCACTAGGATAATGGCATGGGTTGACACGGAGGCATGTCAACAAACGCTCAAAGTCTGTACCTTTGATGACGACTTCATAAACCGATATATTCATCTATCCGCTGTTTATCACGCGCTCCTGTTTTAATTCAAGGTGCGTCGACTTCGTACCCAACCAAGAGCACAGCTGACTAGACAGTACAATCACGTTCACTCTTGTTTCCCCCTGACGAGGGGCTCTTGCATAGGTTTGAAAGCTCAGATTAGCATACTGGCAGCCTTGTTTCAATAAGATGCTGTGGACAGCATGCTTTCCCCTGTTTTGAGGAACACGTCCGTTAGCACTTAAACACACATAATGAAAAATTGTTAAAAGTTAAGTGTCGGCATCTGAACCCTGTCTAGTTGAAATTCTGATCTCCTGTCAGCGCATCCACCTTGGTTTTTTTTGCATCCATAGTTATTTTTTGCATTATTCCGTCCGCTACTTTCATGAACAGCAGTACACCCGTTTCCACGAGCGTTCCAAGTCTTTTTTACGCTGGCTGGTGCATTCCTTATAGGTGTCGAAGTAGCCTTCTAAAAGGCCACATAGAAATATAAGCATTGTCTCAGTTTTCCTCAGCGTATGAACTAATCACCCATTTATTTCACAATTTCAAAGATATGGCCACAAAACCCAGCAAGGACTCGACCGGATTTTAGGGTTTAGCGGCACGTTACACTAGAAACCGCTTACAAGTGTGATTTCCTTATGAAAATGCCATATTACCTTGACTACACATCCACTCGTTCTATGAAAAACAACTATTATAAAGTGAGCGTCGGAGTAAGTGGTATTCGTACACATGGATGCGTGTTCAAATGAGGGCTTCCAGAGGGAAGGAAGACCGAGACGGTCATTTCTGACTTATTGGCCATCATCAGCCGGCTGTTCTCAAATCCAGTTTTGGGGCATCTGGGATTCGAACAAGGGACTTATTACTTTCTAATATACGTATATATATATATATCGGTATTATACCGTACTCCCGACATATATACTAACTAAAAACTCAGACACGTGTTTCGCCGATATTCTGCTGCTGCGTGACACAGTTGCTAGGGGGTCTGCTCTTCAATGGATCCTCCAGCGTTCTGTATGCGATTTCCGGAATATGAACGCCAGAGAAAAATCAGACGCAAAGTTCCAGAAATTATTCAGTGCAGGCCATGGAGTTAAGTCCCCAGGACATGACTTTTTAGGGTCAGGTCCGAAAGCTAGTATCTATGTCGGAAGCACGGTATAATACCTTTACAATATGGATTTAATACTACCCATAATACCAACTGTTTGTAGAATAGGTATTACATGCTTACTCCAGAGTAGTTTATTGTCGTCAACTCGCATGTTCATTGAAGTATTGGGTATGACGATAAAAAGTCATGTCTCTCGGACTTAACTCCATGTCCTGCACTGAAAAATTTCCGAAATTATTCGTAGTAGGTAGTGGTAGCTGAGCTCTCGCCGATCGCGCCCCAGGTGTTCCACACATCGGGATTGGGTAGGGCTGGCGGACGACAGCTGATAAGCCAGCAATAGCTATACCAGTCGGTAATGCTACTCTACCAATACGTATATATGCATAAACATTGATATGCATTGATATGATATAGGGTTCGACCCAATGACCGAATGCCCCGTGTCAGAATCCCACGTGATCCAACACTAGCCGATGGCAGCTCATAAGCTAAAAACAACCATCACACTCTCTCTGGTCATTGATAATTCTCTTTCTAACGTATGTGCATGCATATATGCATGCCATTTGAGTAATGGGTTTACGTCATTCAATAATCAATTTGACTGAAAAACTCTTGGCCATGTTCAGCGCCCCGACCGAACATCGGAGGATCGACTGTATGGAAGCACAGAGAAAAAGAGCTATTCACAAACTTTAGTTTGCCCTACATCCCACTGGCTCCCATTAAGAAAAAACACAAGAAGGAAATGCACAAAAAAACAACGCAATGTGTTCAGAACCTGTCTACTCCCCCCTTCTTGCCCATATTGTTGACTCACTAATGTGTCTATCGACTTATTTGATAAACTTAATCATAAGATGACGCCTTTAGCTATAACATAGCTAAGTTCCATGTGAACGGGAACTCTGCCGAACGTCACTTGTCAAGACCAATGAAAGTGTACTTGGCGGATTTTAAAGGCAAAAAGGTCCGACATAGAGACGGTTTCTCTTTCTGTCCTTCGTGCTAGAGTTGGCGGTATATAACAGCCATAACAGTGGGTAATTTGCAGTCAGAATAATCAAGCGGTTTCCACCAGTCGTACTCCAATCAATTTGCGCAATCGCTTGCAACTCTGGGAGATTTTCGTAGCCCTCGGCCAACTCAACGCCCGCATACCTACTGACTTTCAAAAATTCTGTCCCGAAATTCCAAGTTTTGATTACGCTGAGGGATCAGCAAATGTCCGTGAATATTATGGGGCCACTGACTGGCTTACGTGTGCTGTGGGGAATTTGTTCTCTTTGCCAGAGAACGTGAGCAATCTACTGGGTTTCACACGCACATCGCGACTCAACCTCGGGGGCAGACCGGACGCCTTTCTACTGCATCACTTAATCAACATTTATGTGCTTGTCTGGCAGCAAAGCACTGGCTTTAAATCGATGCTACAAGCGTGAAAATCAGCCACAATGTTGCCTTAATCGGGGTAGGGGTCAATGTCTTTGTAGTACGACAGAGGTCATCTGGGGAATGCAAACGTGTGGGGACAGCGCATGGCATTATGACGAACGCTCTACCAAACGAAATCCACAAACTTTCACATGCATGAGTAGTGAATTACTTATGCCGTTAAAGATTTAGAATCACCTATTCCAATGAATCCTTCACGTTTACTTGAGAAGCACTGGCTAGCAGGCAAGGTTTAGAGACCACTGGAGCCACAGAAGCTGGAAGTCGGCCGCGGTCTCCTTGGTAGATCTGTGTTTCGATTGCTAACCATGCGACAGCCGATGAGGGTGCCAGCCTGCAACTGAAGGACAAGGTAGAGTGAGAGTGTTCTTTCTTGCACTGTGATCTTTTAAAGCGCCAATCCCCTGCGGCTTTATGCACAGGTTAGCCTTCTCGAAAGCATTTCTCCGTGTTGAGAAGCACATCCCGTCCTTTCGATCTTACTTCCTTGATGAGTAGTCAATTTCAAACGACCGCTCTTCACGCTTATCCACCGGTGAAGCACTAATCCCTCGGATCGATATTTAACCTGACCTCACAGTTCTGACTGAACATGTACGGAAAGCGTTGCTGCTGCTGCTGCTGCTGCTGCCTCCAACTCCTTGACGTAATGATATGTGCAATCTAGTGTAGGCTTGATTAACTCCGAATATCCTCGCTCCCCTGGTCGTCCTACCGCAGAAGCCTAAGCCGAGAGTGCGACCCTGGCTGCTACGAACTTCAGGCCCGGTCCAAAATGGAAAGAGACGATGGACGTCAGTTGGGAGGAGGATTTATTCTGCGCAGGATAACTAGAGAATCGGCTGGACAGTTAGCAACAGGACGAGGCCACGTTCGGCACAGGGAGAGCAGTGGTAAAGAGTCTTCAGCCAGGGCGCGTCTGACTCGGCCAGGTATCTGATTGGCCAGTTGGAAAGCCGACTTGGCGAACACCGGATAGCCCTGGTGCACACGTGCGGACACTCGCGAGAGGCCCAGTGTTGCGGCCGCTACAGTCCTACTGCGCACAGGCATACGGGAATAGCAAGGTAATTTCGTTAAGCCTCTAGACATAACTCACCAGCGTGTTAACACTCCTGTTTTGCTGGTAGACGTATGCATTCCATCTGCCATTATTTCGAGTATTTTTTATTATCTGGCTGTTCTCCGCGCCGAACTTTTTTGAATTAAACTTCCCTCTTACTACGTGTGGAGTCTGTAGAACAATGAGCCGATGTAGACATTTCAGTCATACCGGCCCCTCAGGGCGGCACAGGTCAGCGAATGTCATCCTGCCAACGAAGGGCCGAGAAAAAACTCGGCGTAACACAACGCTTCTTTGAAAAAATATAGTGGGCCGTTCTCCATGGTTCTCCCTTACCCTGCGCATATACGTAATTTTTATGATTTTCCGACCTACGGTATCTGGCTGCTTTTGATAAATGTAAGTGAAAATTCTTAAATAGGTTCTATATTAGGAAATATTGCTTGGGTGGCGTAGTAATATTGCTCTTATTGTGCAGCAAATTCCCACGATGTTTCAGTTACGCCAAGATGCCAGCTTCTTCTGGCCGTCCGCAACAACACCACTCGTCAAAACGTGCCTGCTTGAACAGCACGAGATATTCCCATTACTTTTCCCGTTTGGCCACTTGGTTGAAAAACTACGTCTGCTTCAAATTCTATACCTGAAGGTAGAGTATCGTTCGGGCTTAAAAAAGTTGTTCAGTTCCCGAATAATTGCAAACCGAACCTACAGTTGCACTTGCAATCCGGACTTCTACACTGCAAGCTGTATACTTTCCGTGTAAGGAAAATCATACACTTCTGTACGCCATTAGAAATATATCATATAGGGCTCACAACGTTATGCAATCGAGGTGGACCCCGTTGTTCGCCTCGAACAGCATTAATAGGCGTGCTAATTTGATGCTGGATAACTGGAAATTTCGTGGTCTTAAAGAATCCCATAAATAGAAACTTTTTATGGTCGAGCGGTACTTCTCTGAGTAAAAAAATGGGAGACGCAATTTGCTACCAGATGTGTACGAAAGGAGAAATTTTTTCATATTTTCTATGACATATATTTAAATTTAGAAGAGCGTCAAAAATCAATGGGAAAATTCATATGAATCATATAGTCATTTCTCCATGGTGTATTTTTTGCAGGAGGTAGGAAAAAGTTCGTTCAAAAGCCGGCACCCCGACAGGCCTGAAATCTCCTTGGCTTTGGTTGTAAGATAATCAACACTGCAGCCAAACTTAAGTAGTTTTTTTTTAAATCAAAACACATTTCGGGATCTTGGTTAACATTTCACGAGATAGCCCGTGGACTGTAGTTTCCTTTTCAACCGAATTTCGCCGCCTATGCCAATGGTCCAATTTAAAGCATCGGCTCAAATTAGAACCTTACAGGGTGTCCGTTGACCAAGACGAAGACAATAAGCAGGAGTTGTGCTTAATGCCCCCTTCGCCCATTCCCTCTGCAGGTTGACATAACGGATACCAACTATGACAACTGGGGTCTGTTAAACTTCTGGATGCAGAACAGGAGTTTCTCCAGCCCGAAGGCAGCACTGGCAGATTTCCTCCAGAGACCCGAAACCTGGAGAAGGCAGCCCTTTTGGCGAACACTGCCTGACGAGCGGGACGCGGCCAACGCGGACATCCGCCCTGCTCGTCCCTACGGTCTGGATGAACAGGGCATGCTGAAGGAGCAGGAGGTTCCACCAGACAGCGTATTCCCCGGCGCTGTCATCAACAAGCACGTGCACTACCGTGACTGGAGCTTTCAAGTCAGCATCCTGCGTGACTCGGGACTGCGTTTCTTCAACATCACCTACAAGTCGCGTCTCATGATCGCTGAGGCTGGCCTTGCAGACACAGTGACCATGTACGTGGCTGACACGCCCTTCATGCAACGCATGCTCTCACTTGAATCCATGTATGGCGTGGGTGCCATGTGGTCGGAGTTGAGTCCGGGAATCGACTGCCCGCTGGACGCGGTATACCTCAGTGTGCCCATGGTGGCGACCCCGTACATGGGACCGAAGACCATTTTGCGTGGTATCTGTCTCTACGAGGCTCACGCAGAGAACTTCGAGGGTGCCAGTCGTCGCTTCTACGCTTTCTCCAACCCCGACAGGGTTGTCCACGGGGCTCCGGGCTATGCCACGGCAGCGCGAGAGCCCTCTCTCTACGTTGTGGGCATAACGGCCCTCTTCAACTACCAGTATAGTTTTGTTAATATCTTCTCCCCAACGGGTAGCCTCAGTATGTATGTCCTTCCAACCGGCTACGTGCATGTGGAGACCTTGTCCGCGCAGCAGCCGCTACAGCCGAACGAGCGATTCGGTCTCATCTCCGGGGTCTGGGGCCTACAGTTTATGCTTCACACCCACAACTACCTCTTCTACCTCGATTTGGACGTCCTTGATGAGCGTAATGTGGCCGAGGTCGTAGAGGTCTCGGGGGCTGGTGAGGGGTCTGCTGCGGGCGGCAGAGGAACAAAGGATTCTGGCTTCGGCATTTCTATGAATCGACGGACACTGCAGTACGAGCGGGAACAGGAGGAAGTGGATGGCGGTGGGAAGGCAAGTGAAGGTTCAGGGACTCCGCAGATGAGGCGACATCGGATTTGCAAGGGCAAAGCCATTGACAAGCACTGTTTGGAGGTCATCAATACGGCGCCCCTGCCCTCCATGTTTAGCGAGGAAACAACTCGCTCCTACGCATGGGTCAGGTAAGCAGATGAATTTCTCCTCGGCGCGAGATCCCATCAATTGTTACGGACTTTTAAGAAGTCAAGTCAGGCAAACGTACGCTTTCAATTATTCATGCTCATGGCTGTACAGTAATATAAGGAAGGGCAAGGTAGCAAAAGTTAAATAGAACGTTATCGCCAACAAAGACAAGAGAGGCTGGAATGGCCGTTTCTGGCTTATTAACCGTTTTCAGCCAGTCCTACCCAGCCCCGAAGTGTGGCATACCTGGGACTCGATCCCACGACCTATTAGTTGGAAGTCAAACACCTCTAAGCACTGAGTTACGGGCTCGTTACCCTGTCGGTTTCGACCGGGAATGTACAATGGCAAAGTTAAATAGCCAATAAAAGTCATTGTGTGGGGAGAGGGTTTAGGGGCGTTCAGAGGTCAGGTGTCAGAGTCTAGTTCTGTCAGTGACTTACGGAGGGGGAGGGGGAGGTGTCTGGCAGTTAGCTGTCCCTGTTTCATCGCTTTTCCGCGACGTGGATAGTGTGAAACCATATCCTGGGTTTTTCTGTCCCCGGGGGAGCCTTAGAGCTCGTACAAATGCTTTATGCGAGCACAAAGTTGGGTTGGCTAACCGCAGATATCCGCTGACGCAGGAACGTGGAGTGTCTCGCCAGTACTTTATAGATGAATCGGAATGCTTGGTTAGGGTTAGGGGTTAGAGTTAGGGGGTCTGGGTTAGGGCAACTATTTCCCAACCACCCAAAATACAACCGCTCATTCCCAATAGCTTTTATTTTGCATACAATTACTTGAGCTCGTCGCCTGTGCGCTCCCCGGCCCCTATTACCACCTGTCCCTTATTAAAGGTGGCTGGGGTTTATGAACCTCAGGTGAGGCTACATAACCACATCTGACCCAATCTTGCCTAGAAAAGACTCTTATTCATCAGTTTTACTCTATTCGAAACATTCAAGTGGTCCTTTCTTGGCATCATTTGCACTGTTTTTGTGGTCAGCACGGCCTCGTCGTCTCCATACTTTCATTATATGGCGATGACGTCAGCAAAACGTTTCCGTAAGAGGAGACAACTCATTTAGTTATTTTTACTCTTAGAATGAGTATTTTATTTGTAAAATACACCATGATTTTCACATGCTCTCTGATTCACCAAGAAATTTATAAATTTACACGATTAGCCCTCTGAAGCTGGTGGGTTTCATAATAACTTGTGAATAGAGTCTTGAAAGTTTCATTCCGAATAATGTACTTCAGGTTAGCACATTACTTTTTGGGGAGAATAATAAAGGATAAAATTTCGTAACTGAAGTATTCACAAGAAACCTCACGGGGAAGGCTGGGGGACTCGCTGATCAGCCGAACCACTCACAGGTGTGTCACGCAGCGGCAGAATATCGGTGAAACACGCGTGTCTGTGCCTTTGACTTGCAACTGTATTTTCACCATGGTAAATCATAAGGAATGTGCATACGACGGGCTGCCTGTTGGCATTTTATGAATATTTCGCGACCAGCCCCCTGAAGCTGATGAAGTTAAGCCCGCATATTAGTATCGGCTTTAGGGCTGAGCTTGCGGAGCTTCATTCCGAATTATCTACCCCAAGATTAGGTTGTCTAGTTACTGCCATTTTAAGGGAGAGTGTTCAGTTCAGTTCAGTTCAGTTTATTTGAGTGAAATATAGGTGTTAAACCTTTGAACTCCCTATTTGTTACAAGGAGGCGAACAATAAAAAAAATTGAAACATCAAACGGCTACAGAGTTTCTTCAGATTGGCAACGTTTTGTAAGCCAGACAGATAAACGAATTGTTCCAAGAGTTAAAAACATTAACGTTACTAATTGCGCTGTACAGTAGTCTGTCTAGGGATAGTTGGTGCTATCTCAGTTTCGGAGGGAGACGAATTGAATGCCAACACACATTTAACAGACATGGGACAATATTAAAAAACAAACGTTACTTAAATATAAGAAGTAATATAACAACATTAATAAACTGTTCGAACGAAATGCTAGACAATCTGTCAGGTGGCAAACGTTCCCCTACGAAAAAAACAAATCATTTATTTTTTGTAAATTTACTGCGGTCACTCGCTTTGCAGAATGCGCTATAGCTTCCCCCTCCCTTCAACGATAAAATGACTACTTCCAAAAACACAGCAGTAAAAAAAGCGCGAAACCCGGAGGTGATAAGACTCCGCGTCAAAATTGAAGGCCTTTTTGTAAAATAAGCCACTGATTCTATCTTTTCACTTACTTAGTGCCAAAAGGCTGCAACCTTAAAGTACCTTCAACAAGTACATTCTTTAATGAAATCCAGGAAAGACATATGGATCAACCGTTACCATGACAACGAACGCGAAGGGTCGTCGATTTACAATGGAGTTGACCTAGCTGATCCGTTCGTTGATTTCACAACATTCACAAGTGACAATGAATCGATGGTTGATGAGGTGAGTCTCCGTCATCTACTTTCGAATGCTTTTTGACAGACCTTCTTGGCGCTTTATCATCGGCCCATTTCTCCTTGTAGTTGCATCAGTAGTAATGATGAAAACGGTGGCAGTAGTGATATTAGCATTAGGTCGGGACTGCAGAAATAACTCGTGCGCTGCTAGGACAAACGACAGAATCTCTGTCAGGCCATCTGGTTCTATCAGTTTTATGAAACGCTCCCTACTTACCTGCATCCACAACCACATATAAACTCACGGATATGTCGAGAAACAAGGGTCGAGAGCGAGAATTTTCACAAAATTAGTAGGATGGTCCTTACTACTGTAGCCAGCGTACAAGCAGCTCAGAGGTCGACGGTAGCAACTATTATTACAACTGTTGTTGTTATTCAGGATATGAGGTGTGCGCGTACGCCTGAGATCTGTCTTTAGAAAGTAGAGTGGCCTACATGACAAAGATTCCCAATCAAAAGTCAGGGAAGACAGTTTGAGTTGGACAACCTCTACTGCCTGAGGAATTGCGTACACAGGGGCTCTGTAGTCAGTCGGCGCGAGCGCGCTCTACAGGCAAGTTGTTGTCTGTGTCCGCCTTCGAGGTGCTGAGACCCAGCGCGTGTGTGCGCCTTTCGTTGTCTCCGCGTCCGCCAGCCAATCGGGGGAAGGGGGCAGCGTTGATTGGCAGCGTTGATTGATCGCGAGGCTAGTGACAAGCCTCACGCGTCCCAACAGCGTATCGACAAGGAGTGTGAGGCGGACAGGAAGGCAGCGTGACAAAGGCGGAGGGCAAGGAGACGCGAACCGCCACATGTCCGCCTGTGGACAGACCGTGAAACGGATGTCATTCGGCGTCAAAATGTCTCCATGCCGAGAGCTGATTCGCTGTCGGCATCCTCTTTCAGTTGACAGTTCAGGTGGGCAGAACGCGACGTAAGGAAGTGGCCATGCGCGAGACAGCCCCTGATTTAAAAAAATGACATGGCAGATACCGGAATAGCCGTTGTAGTACTTAGACAAAAGTTAACAACGATGTTAATCCGTTCAGTCGTGCACCGGGGTCGTCGCCTCAACACTTCTATTGGAATTTCTGCAGCGTGAAGACGAACGCGCGATCATTGGAACAGTAGGTGTACCAGTCTGCGCTTTCGGGCTCGTACAGAAGCACATCATCATAGACTATGAGGGCTTAAGAACGGCTGAACAAATTAGCAATCAAACAATGAGTACCCGGAGGAAGGGGGAGGGAGTAAAGTCCGCGGCAGGGCTGGGCCCACTCCGTCCAACGGTGTGTGTCCTTGGCTGGAAACTGGACCGCGCCACCTGGCGGGGTAAGTGTAGCACGTAATAGCAGAACGATACGCCCGCCGAACGCTGCGATTACATGTGCTCTGTTGCTATATTTTCCATGGTTCTCTCTCCCTCTGTCTCGTTCGTTCTTCGTGTGTACGTATAGAGGTAGCATTCTATGAAGTTGTTTGAGTAACCGTTCTTTACTGGCTAGTCCAATAACGTCGTACTTCCTTCATTTGTCCTTCCGGTTCGCCGCAGTGCGTTTTTACTCTTTTTGTAGATCGCACTGGCACGGTCGCGTTTCAGAGCCGTTGAATGGTTGCTCTGATAGCTGAGGAAATGCGTTGCCTTATTCGTCTAGATTGGAAGTTAGGCTGCCTTCCAAGGCCATGATTGGCCCAAAGAGAACGTTAAACTTGTGGATTTTGGGTAAAGCATATGGACAGTACCAGTGCTTTATCGGTTGATCTCTTCTGCCGCCACTCGGCTATCGATATCACATTGCTGCGTCCGAGTCTGTTTAGGAGTCCGGCTAGCTGGACCGTCATCGATCTGACCTGTGAAGAAAGCGTAAGTTTGTCGGACTGTTGCTCCTAGAGGAGGACCCGTGTCTCCCCGCTGTAATGCATGCGGTTCATCTTGACGGTTGGGGGACGGTTACTGACTTCGACCTCAAAATTACAAGTACCTCGAAGACGGTCTAGCATTCTGATCTGTTCGCACATGCATTTGTGTTCCGGCCCCTGCTGGCAACCTGGCTGCCCAGAAACGAGACTGATTGACCGACCTCATAGTGATTTGCTCCCTTCAGGCGACCATGAGGAATCAGTGGGACGAAAAAGCGTATACGAGGGCTAAAGATTTCGATAGCTTTCTTAGTCATCCAAGTAATTTTGACCAACCGTCACAATCGCGTCGCTCCACCCCTCTCATGGTTTCAGAGCTTAAACGACTGAGGGTCACTGGCCTTCGACACAAATCCGCCTGCTGTTAAGTCAACTTTCTCCGCCTCAGACTTCAAGTCCATTCAGACAGGAATGGCCGCCCACACTTCACTTGAACAGAAGTGAACCCCCCTCCATGGGTGATGTCACAACCATACAACATTTGGTCACAAGCACTCTCTCCCTAGCGGCGTCGCACACATACTTGCAGACGGCACCACGAGCACTCCTCGTGGGCATGACATAATGCTGTCCACATCTGTCATGGGTTCGCCAGTGGTCACCGCTACCTGAAGTGCGACTTAGGGTTCCATTTCGACCGTCTTTAGTGTCAACATCCACTGTGTGCCCCAGGGAGTGGGCACAACACCGGCGACTTGTGCGGGAATTAGCCCATAAAGAGACAGCCTTGTGCAGCACCAAGCGCCGTCTCTCCTCCCCCACCAACCTGGCAAGACAATGTCAAGACGACCGGAGGTGGGCTCGGGAGCAGTGACTGACGAGGTTGGACAGTCCGTCTACGCGTGCCACACTCGACCTGGTCCTCCGCAACAAATATCGGGGTTTTGCCGGAATTGGGGGCAGCTTGGATCTCATGTTCGTATCGCGTACTCAATAAACCCCTCATTCTGGCCTTACGGTTTTGGTGAGCTCACTAACTCAATTGGCCAAAAGCAACTGTGGGCAAACTGTAGACTGGAAGGCTACATGCGGACGATAGTTGACCGCCTACAGTAAGCGGGACTTGCTGAAGTACAATTCCGAAATTGGCTACTTGCTCCCTCTTCCATACTGGTTATTCTTCTCCCTTTCTTCGTTCGCCTAATTCTTTCCTAATGGAAACAGGTCTTATTTGGCATTTATTCCGAACAGTTGAAGAATTCTAAAGAAAAGCAGAATCTAATAAGCTTCCCCCGTTTGTGTATTGTCCCTCTTTGAAGGATCTTGTGGTGTGGGCAAACGTTGGATTCTGTCACATTCCTTCGAACGAGGACTTTCCGCATACCTCAATGCATTACTCCACCTACAGCGTTGTTATCAGACCAATCAACTTTTTTGACGCCACCCCTGACCTGAGCGCTGGAAAACAAGTATTCACCAAGGATGTAGGTTTTCCGCATTTTTTTTTCAGTGTATTTTACCATTGCCCCTATCATTGTTGGTATACGCGATCGCAACTGCCAGGACAGTAAGTCCATAGCTCACTGGTAAGGACGTTTGACTTTTAGCCAACAATTGGCGAGTTCGAGTTTTGGGGGTTCCATAGCTCGTGGTTGGGTAGGGCTGACTGATGACGGCCAACAGGTCAGAAGTGGCCATTCGGTAATGTTACTCTGCCAATATGTACTACTAGTCGCTGTGCGGCTGTTAGCGGGGCTCGAGAGAGCCCCAAGGCACAATGGGAGGAGTTACTTCTGTTAAACGACCGCTGTGCGCTCCTCTACCGCCACTACAGTATATGTTATCTCTTTTTGAATTTTCACCCCCAGATATGGGATGTCACGCAAATAGTCCATTACATTTTAACCGTCTCCCGTCAGGTTAGGACAGATTTCCACCAAGGCCGAAACGTACGCATTGTGAAGTCCTGTAGGCCAGACTGCTTTTGTCTTTTAAGCAGTCTAAAAGTCTGAGAGCACAGAAATTCCACAGAAATACGTCCGAATTTCAGATCTCCTCAACCCCGAGACTCCAGCTGAACTTCTAAAGGGCGACAAATAGGCCAGTCATGATCGTGCCAACCTGCCTGCCACTGTCAGCAAACCGTTTCCGACGACTGTTGGCTCGCCACGATAGGACAAGTTCTGAGTGCTCTAAACTGGGTTTCCAGGGCAAATCATGGTATTTCATCTTACAACTAGATCAGACTGCTGAACATCATTTTGATGCGGTGCTGAATATTTTCAATGGTAGCAAATAGAGCCTGACTCGGTGACTCAAACAGCAGTGTCGGCCTCCTTGATCGACTAAACTGGAGCTTAGATCGCAGATCTTCCCACTACTCGAGGTATAGCTGACTTCTGATAAAAAAAATAATTCACATGGTCAGTTCATTTGGGTTTAGGCCTCAGAAGTGGAGTCTGGGGTCGGGCTATAACTGACCGGCGTTGACAAAGAAGCCAGAGATAGCCAACTCCAGTGTTTTTTGTCTTTGTCATCCAAGTATCTCCGTACTAAGAAGTGAAAACCCGACGTCGTACGCGACCGGCCCGTGTCCGCGTACTCACCTTGCATTCCTTTATTTTGGTTTACCTGCTTCAGCGTCGTCTCTTGGCAAGGCGACAGTACTCATGTGCGCTGGATCGCCACGTAGGATAATGGGCGGCCGACACGTGTGCGCTGACCTATTAAACCACTGACCTGCACGCGTAAGTGCAGTTGAATCGTGAGAACGTAGAGGGACGCGTCCCCCGTTCCCACGTTTCTCCTCCACTCGAGTATGATCACACACGTGTGCCTCCGTTTTGGTCCACCGTATTACTAGCCTGCAACTTCACCTGTGGCTTCATGCCACTGAGTCATAATAGCTTGGGGAAAACTAATGCATTTTCATTGGCTGGAAATATGTTGCTGAAGTATTTGTGTCATATCTCCTGAGTAGGCTGCCGGGAAACGATAGGGTGTAGGACCCTTAACTAACTTGAGCTAGCCTGTGTCATTCGTTGAATGGTGGAAGAGGGGGTTTTACGAGTGGAGCAACACACAGGACAGAGAGCAAGAAAATGTTATTGTACGCTGTCATTTGGCAAAGAAAGTGAACGCGATAATTAAAAAATAAACAAAAAACAATTTTCAAAAAATAGCGGACTTTGCATAAAGCGCCGCTGGTAAGTTTACATTTAGTCAGGAAGGGGCAGAAATCTCAAACAATGCGAATGGTGAATAATAAGTAATGTTTACAGTCGCGCCGAATTTTAGGGTATATTTTTGTAGTCGCCGTCAACTTGTGGGTTCTACACCCTATCGTCACGACGATCATTATCAGGCCTATCTCTCCCGTATTCTCTTATCATCCTATCCTATCTCTGTTGGCCTTTTTCGTTTAATTTAGTTATCCCTGTCCTTCCGCCTGTCTTGTTTCCTTCGTTTTCTTCCTCCATCCTCTATTTTCGTTTTTCCTTTCTTTCGAAAATCCTTTTTCTTTTCCGCCTCTTATCCTCATTGGTTTCCTTAAGCACTCCCGCATTTTCATTCCTTTGCTTCAGATCTATCAGTTTTTCTTTTTATCTTAAAATCCCCTGGTTATTGGATATCTTCGTGTCCTACTTATTCTTTTTTCTTCCGCTTTTCGGCACTTTTATTCTCCCTCACGCTTCTAACTTCCCATCGTTCTTGTCGCGCTTCGTCGCTTATTATTCTGTTTTGTCCTCTGTCATTGCACGCCTTCTTGACTAATTCCAATCATTATCGTTTTTACCACAGTTCCCTCTACGATTTTCTTTCGGTACCTACTCTCTTCCACTTAGTCCCTCTTCTTGCTGCTTTACTCTCCTCTTCCGCAGCCCCCCTTGTTCCCTCCCTCTCTCTTCCTTCTGGACCTTTGCTCCTCCTAATCTTCATCAGTTTTATGTGGTTTAGTGCCTTTTAGCATTTCGGTTGCCACCTCTGCACATTCTTCTTCTTCTTCTTCATCTTCTCTCTCTCTCTCTCTCTCTCTTTCCTGCCCAAGTTGCTTCCACTTACACCACGTCCGCGCCACGACATTCCTTTCTCGTATTTTCAATTGTCGTTTTGCCCCTTGGAGAAATCCATGGTCCGATTGATATCACGAAGAATAGCTAACACAGGCCAGCTATCAGGCGTTGACTCCGATTCTGTGAGTTCTTTTAGGGGGGATTATGGCAGGGGAATAGTCCAACGAAGAGTTGACAATGGCGCATAGGCAAAATTGAGGGAGATGGAAGTAGCCCTGTTGAAGGAGGTCGTGCAAAGGCAATGAAGTGGTTGCCTCCAGTATGGGCGGATGAGAACTCGGCCGTCACAGACAACGATGTTCACGACCGCCCACAAGGTGGATTCAGGAGGGATTTGCGCGTGAATCTGTTAATAGTGAGGCATACTGGTGCCGGGTTTACCTCACCCTCCGTCTCTCTTTCCGCATCTTTCTCCCCCTTCCAGTACCGCAACAAAATTTAAACGACCATAAGGGGCTGCCAGAAGCAGAGAGTCCGTCATCGAGTGCCATAAAGACCACGCTATGAAGCAGTCATTGCAAACAGGCCTTCAGTTCTGAGAAAGATCGAGCTATTCCGTCAGCTGGAAGACTTCGAAGTCCTGACTTTTAGTTCGTCATGCTCGGTTCAACTTCATCAGACTTCTTATAATGACTCGAGATTGGCTTATCCTCCTTTACCCCCTAATCAGCCCGAGTCTTTTCGACAAGTGATGGTGAGACTGGACGAAGTGGATGATGCATACCTCCGTCTGTCGCATATTGCACGCATGTATGGCAACGGGTAAGGCCTCAGGCAGACTCATTGCAATCCAGGAAATACGAATTAATTCGGTTCCCGTGTCTGTTCCGTGCATCGGCGGCATGAAGGAGTAAGTACGCATGGATGATTGAAAGGACACCCTCAAGTTCACCGCAAACGCAACAACTGGAACAACCGGTATACGCGAAAAGAGAAGTTCCAGGAAAGGAAGAAGGCTCACTGCACGAACTAAAACTTTATTCAACTTACTTTTTGGATTTACACCTAAAACACACAATTAGGGATAGCAACGAGTACAGTTAGTTGTTGCATAAAGGGTGCACCCTTACGAAGATGCTTATCATCATTGGTAGAGGAGGACTCACTGATCATCTCTACGGAACTCACTCGTCCCGTTGTGCCGCACGGGCTCTCTCTCCCTCGAGCCCAACCAGCAGCCACACAGCGGTGCATGATATAAGCAGAATGGTATTGCAGACAAACACAAAGGAGACCGGAATGGCCATTTCTGGCTTAGCAGCCTTTAAGTGTGGCTGGCTGACGACGGTTAATAAGCCGAAAACGGTCATTCCAGTCTCCCTTGTCTTTGTTCAGAGACCGTTTCTACGTTTCGTTGTCCTAGGATTTGGTCTCCCATAAGAGGCGCTTCCAGAACACTTTTGAAGTTGAAGTGGGCCACACCAACTAGTGGGGGACTGGAGCGAATTTCATTGGACTTTTCACGCTTACAAATGTTACTCAAAGATTCCATCCTGGTAAGCCTAATGGCACGTTAAGTTTACCCAAGCTTGCTTCTGGACCGACGAACGAGTTCTGTGGTTGTCTGTTTCGTAATAATAGCAGCCGGTCGGAAAGAGGTTCATTCAAAAGCCGGTATTCTAGCCTGACCGAAGTACCTTGTGACTATGCTGCGTGATAACATTGCTACCCAACTCAAGCATTCCTTTCCGATATGAAATCACACTGTTGAGTTTTCACTAACATTTCATGAGATAGCCCACCTACAATAACACCAAAAGGTTTCTAAACCTTGACTTAAGTCAAAGTCACCCGAGTAAACTTAAAGAATAAACACAGTAATCAGTTCACTACTCCTGCATGTGGCAGGTTGGGGATTTCTGTTGGCAGAGCATTCGCCATAATCTCATGCACTGTCGCTACACGTTTGCATTCTCCAGATGACCTCTGTCGTACTACAAAGACATTGACCCCTACCCCGGTGAAGGCAACACTGTGGCTGATTTTCACGCTTGTAGCATCGATTTAAAGCCAGTGCTTTGGTACCAGACAAGCACATAAATGTTGAGTAAGTGATGCAGTAGTAAGGCACCCGGTCCTTGGTCTGCCCCGAAGTTAGGTCGCGAGGTGCATGTGAAGCCCAGAAGGTTGCTCAGGCTATCTCGCAAAGGGAATAAATTCACCACAGCAAACTTAAGCCAGTCATTGACCCCTTAATATTCACTGCCATTTGCTGATCCCTTAGCGTAATGAAAACCTGGAATTTCGGGACAGAATTTTTGAAAGTCAGTAGGTATACGAGCGTTGATTTGGCCACGGGCTACGAAAACCTGCCAGAGTTGCAAGCGATTGCGCAAATACATCGGATTATGACTTGTGGGGACAGCTTAATTATTCTAGCTGCAAGTTATCCACTGTGAGGGCTGTTGTATACCGCCAATTTTAGCACGAAGGACAGATAGAGAAACCGTCTGTATGTCTGACCGTTTTGCCTTTAAAATCCGCCAACTACACTGTCGTCGGTCTTGACAAGTTATGCTCGTCAGAGTTCCCGTTTACCTGGAGCTTAGCTATGTTATAGCCGAGGGCTTCATCCTATGGTTCATTTTATCAACTAAGGCGCTAGACACATTAGTGAGTCAACAACATGGGCAAGATGGGGGGAGTAGACAGGTTCTGGACACAGTACATTGTTTTTTATGCATTACCTTCTTGTGTACTTTTTAATAGGAGCCAGTGGGATGTAAGGCGAACTAAAGTTTGTGGGTAGCTCTCTTTTTTCTCTGTGCTTCCACACTGTTGATCATTCGATGTTCGGTCGGTGCGCCGAACATTGCCAAGCGTTTTGCAGTCAACTTGATTATTCCATTACGTAAACCCACTACTCAAATGACATGTTTATACGTTAGAAAGAGATCTATCAATGGCCAGAGAGATTGTAATGGTTGTTTTTAACTTATGAGCCGCCATCGGCTAGTTTTGGATCATGTGGGATTCTGACACGGGGCATTTGGTCATTGGGTCGAACCCTATATCATTGATGCATATCAATGTTTATGCATATATATGTATTGGCAGAGTAGCATTACCGAAGGTATAGATATTGATGGCCGTCCCAGGCTCCCGTCTCTCTGGACGCCGCAATTTCAACATACAGCCATGTGTACATATGTCACTTAATCCGGCGCTCACTTTATAATAGTTGTTTTCCATAGAACCAGTTAATGTGCAGTAAAGGCAATATGGCATTGTCATAAGGAAATCACGCTTCTATGTAAGGATCGTTTAAATCCTGAAATAATTGGTTTAAAACATCGTTAGGCCACACACTTTTAGTATATGATCGGGGTGGTTATACCCTCCCGAAGGCACTTTAAGAAATTCTTTAATATTCCCGTTTAGGAACTTTTCCCCATTCAATGAATGCAGAACACGCGCAAGCTCTTTAATCATAAACATCCAGTCACTCTCACCCAGAAAATGTCCGAGGTAGCTAATTTAGGGCCTTTCTTGAAGGGGGACCAGTTCACACTGACAAGGGTAGTTTCTTGCGTTTATTTAATTTTTACAGAGTGGCCGAGTAGAAATTCGCTGTGGATTTTCTCTGCGAAATCACTAAAATGTGTTTAATATTTGTATCAGTTTGCTTTACATGTGTAGGAATATCTTCAGTGAAAACACGGAGTGGCACGGTGTGCGGGTACTGTCCTATAATTGAAGTATGACATGGTCATGCCGTTAAAATGGACTTATTTAATAGCATGTTTAAAACTTCCTAGGCATTTTTGGCCTATATTGTCTGTCAACGAACCAAAAGATAAATGTTTATGTAATTATCCTCGCAACGCATGCGCATATGCATAACTCCTGGTTTTCCACATTTTTCATCCAGATAAACGATTGGCTACGTGGATATACACTTTCCTCAACTGATCAAGAATTGATCTAGGATTGGCAACGAGTTTGAACCCTTCGGTACCCTCCCCTCCTCCTCCTCCTCCTCCTCCTCCTCCTCCTCCTCATCCTCATCTTCATCCTCATCTTCATCCTCATCCTCTTCCTCCTCTTCCTCCTCCTCCTCCTCCTCATCCTCATCTTCATCCCCATCCTCTTCCTCCTCATCCTCCTTCTCCTCCTTCTCCTCCTCCTCCTCCTCCTCCTCCTCCTTTTCTATAAACCAATCATGAGCCCATTGTCACAACGTTGTGTACAAATCGCATACTTCACTAGCCATCACGCGAATTACATTAGACGTTTCGACCCCCATTTCATCTGTTATTCCTCCACTTTTTCTAACCAAGTTTTTGCTTGATCATCGAGAACCCTGTCAGATACTTTCCTTTCCTTTCCCTACCTGAATAAATTTTCCAAGGCAGAAAAAACAGATTGACTGGAAAAAATGCAGGGGGTCACACGTCCAGAAGAATGCCATAGAGAAAGTGCCGCTGCCATGTGTAAACACTTCTGCTATGATGTATATGTTGTCTTGCCTTGTGGAAATAAAGCATGACTTTGGCAACATTTATGACAACCGAGGCTCCAAGCGCCCCTTCAGGATTGATAAAAGGCATCTTTTTTAAACTAATATTTCGCGGAGTTACTTTACCCTCGCCCTATAAGCTCATTCAACTCGAACAGTGAGTCTCACTACCGCAAACTGGAGCAAGTGACTGTGTTACTGACGCTAAGGACGGAACCGTCAATCCCAGACTATGGATATCAGGATAAGACCAGAGTTATGAAGGAATTAACAATCAAAAGTCAAACGACCTGACAATCCAACACATGCCGAGCGCATCGCTTAGAGTTGTGTTCCTTCCACTCGTTTAAACAACCAGTAAGTTCAAGAATGAGGAACAGGTAGGGAAAGGTAAGATAGT